TGCAGATGGTGACCGCAACCATGAAATTTTCTTCCACGCTTCCTCCTTGGAAGAAAAGCTATAACAAACATAAGCAGCATATTAAAAAGCAGACTCATCACTTTGCCAACAAAAGTGTATATAGTCGAAGGTATGATTTTTCCAGTAGTCACGGACGGATGTGAGAGTTGGACCATAAAGAAGGCTGAGTGCCAAAGAATTGATGCTTTTGAATTGTGTGGACTCTTGAGCGTCCCTTGGACCGCAATGAGATCAAATTAGTCAATCCTAAAGGAAATCAACCTGAATATTCAATGGAATGACTGATGCTGAAGCTGACATGCCAATACTTTGGCCATCTGATGTCAACAGCCGACTCATTGGCAAAGACTGATGCTAGGAAAGATTAAAGGCAAAAGGAGAAGGGGGCAGCAGAGAATTAGATGGTTTGGTAGTATTACCAACTCAATGGACAGGAATTCGAGCAAACTTTAGGAGATAGTGAGGGAAAGGAAAGACTGGCATGCTACAGTGCATGGGGTCACAAGGAGTAGGATTCAACTTAGTGACAGAAATTGCTTTGTGATGAGCAAAATAATAATGTTATTGGTTGTTTAGTCACTAAGTTGTGTCAGACTCTTGTGATCCCACAGACTGTAGCCTGCCAGGATCTTCTATCCATGAGATTTCCCAGGCAAGAGTACTGGAGGACAGTGCCATTTCCTCCTTCAGATCCTGACCTAGGGATCAAACCCACATCTCCTGCATTGTAGGCTGATTCTTTACCTCTGAGTCACCAGTGAAGCCCCAGAATAATAACGGGTTTCTTAAAAAAAAGGTCTATCCATCTCTATGGAATGGAGACTATCGTGTTTATTTGAAACTAATGTCAGACATACATTTGATTTATGATATATATGCTTACATTTAGGTCTTTATTTTTTTCATTTTGAATTTATTTACATTGCTCTCCCCTCTCTCTCCCTCCTCTTTTTGTCTCTTTTTGGTCTCAGTGCAGTGTAATTTTAGTCTAGGGAAAAGTAAAATGTGTCTTTTATCCCCCTCTATTACTAACCTTTCATATCTCATGTTAAAACTTTGGTTTTTGCTTTGTCTTCTCTGTTTGGATTATTCATGTATAGTCAGAATTTGTCTTTTGCTTTAATCCTACATCATAACATTAAATAATTTCTTTACTATTTCCATAAACTAATATGCAGCAAACAAAATCCAGTTATCCATCAGAAGATATACTAAGAATTAAAAAATTAGAAATACTTAATTGAGTTTGTCCATGTTAGAACATGAGAAATGTATAGAAAATTTTACTATGGAAATTCACTTAGGTCCCTATTATGTACTGAATATCTATAAGGATGATTTTCTTGGAAAATAATTCAAGAACTTGTTTTCCAAATATGCCAGTTCAGATTCAGTAAAAGAGAAAAAGGGGGCTATCAATAAAGAAAAGATTTATTTTCTAATCCATAGTGTGCAAGTCCCCGAGCTTAAAAGCAAAATATTTTAAGTTAACTCTTGCTAATACTAAACTATACTAAAATTTAAAGTGCTATTTTTGTGATTTACCTTTTATGCTAGATTTATTGCAGGTAGATTCTTTACCCTCTGAACCACCAAGGAAGCCCTCATGGATAATATTTTATTGTAAACCAAGAGCTAGTAACTGTCTTCATACACTATGCAAAACTCTGTTAACTTAGGTACTTCTTTGAAATACTGGGCATGGATTCTTAAAGAAATGCATGGCTTGCAAATTTAACCTAAAAAAAAAATCCTGATTTCAAGCGCTGACAGATTTATTAGTAGACAAAACTTGTCTACTCAGTTTTTTAAAAAAAAAAAGGGATGAAAGTTGGACCAATGCTGAATTAAGGGAGGTGAAAATATTATACATGCCCTGCCCCCTCCCCCAAATCACCGCAGCAAGTTGTAAATGATGTATGAAATGACAAAGCCCTGCCCAATGCACGGGACGAATATAAATACTGCTCTGAAATCACCACTGTGAGGTACTATTTGCTAGAATTTTCTGCATAGCTGAACCCAGGAAGACCTCACCTCATCTACAAATCCAAAAAAGAAATGAACTGAAAACAATTCTATTATTTTACTCTATGCAACACTCTCCTCCTTCCTTTTTCTTAGCCATAACATTCATTGACTATTAGAATACTTAAGTATTGCTGAGGAGTTTAATAATTTTTTATTTTTTAACAAAGGAAATATCAAAACATATATTAAATGGAAAACCATAAAGGGTTTCCATTCCAGAGTCAACTAGACCCTGGGTCTGAATGCTAGTTTTGTTGAATCCTGGGTTTGACTCTACTGCCTGATTTTGTACATGCTTTAAACTTCTTTGAACTTCCATCTTTTTCCTTTGTAAGATGGAGATGATATGGACACACAGTTTGAAGGTTAAGTGAAATAACCTAAGCCACTGAAATCACTGGCATGATATTGGACAATGTAGTTAGTTGTAAAGTTTGGGTCAATTTTCCCTCTCTTTTCATAATGGAGGCACATATCCCAGCATGGAAGGAAGATTGCATTTTGAACTGGAAGTCTTGGGTTTTAATTTTTAACTCAGTTTATTAGACAATTCACTTGACTTTTCTGAAGACATCTTAGATATTTTTCTTCTGAAAATAGATGTTGATTATATCCTATGAGAAAAATATATGATAATATATACTTTAAAATGTTAAGTAAGGGCAAAGTGGTACAAATTAACATATCTGAGTCAAAAATATATATACAGATATAGTATTCAGGTTTCTAGGAATCTGTTCTTCAGGGATGCAATGAACTACACTATTTTATCTAAAATGTTATCATGAGAATTTTCTTTGGTCAGTTTCTTCAAGGGCATATTTATTAGAAATATCTCATAATAAATTGCAAGATGTCCTCAGGATGCAGAGGTTATGAATGAGTGTACCAGAATTGGACTCCAAGACACTTGACTTTGCATTTCTAATCAAGCAGCAATTTGATTTTTTCTATCTTGGTTCTCCATATCATTCAGATGCCCTAATTCATTATGGAAATTGATGTTTGAGTATCTACCCCATGCCAGACTAGCTTTTCTCTTTACATATACAAATGCAAGTCACCTTTGGAAGAATGCAGACCTAAGTCCCAGTACATTTCAAACATTAACTAATAATTTTGGAAATTTTTAGAATCTTCTCCCAGGAGACAATGTTGTAGAAAGCAAACTGAGGCATAAGAATCACCCCATGCTACTGATGAGAATCCACATGAAAGTTCTTCTCTCAAATGAAGTGACATTCCTACTCAAAGGGCTAGCTTCATATGCATAAAAATTAGGTGCTCGCCAGAGGAAAATACTTTTCAAAATCTAATTTAATTCATTTAATACAACCATGAAGCAAAGAAAATGAAAGATGTCAAGGAAAAGAGAAAATATACTTCAACCAATAATAGGTTTCATTTCCTACTAGGAAAAAAAAAGTGTTCAGTAAGATTTGAAAAGAGAATGAGGCCAATTCATTTTGATCCTGTGGCAATACTTTGAAGCTTACTTTCTAACCTGGTCTATTTTACATTTCCAGATGCTATGAAAGGTAATGTATGCAGAAAGCAACACCAGTGGGGATTTGGGTATTTCGTTTTCCCCACTGCAGTGACGATTTGGATCTTACTTTTTCTGAAAGCATCTTTAAAGAATTCTTCAAGCTGTCTGGAGAATGCTGGCTTGCAGAATTAAGCAGTAGGTCTGCATGGGTTGCTATCAGAGGTTGTAGTTGATTGATGTTGCTGAGAACTTCTTTTGCTTTGGCTGTGTTTTCAGGTGAATAGTAAATAAACTGGTATCCAGTACTGCAACAACAAAGATAAAGGCGAATTACACAACAAGCAGAAAGAACTGTCAGCACTTAGTACCAGATGCTAAGTGATAGACAGAACTCCTAATAGCACTACTTCCTATTGAACAGATAAGAATTATTCTAAGAGATTTTTGTGATATTCTGAGTTTTCTCAAGTCAAATGACCAAGATATTTTGAAAGACTAGATGAAATGATTCTAGTCCTTGCTTAAGCACTAAGAAGATTTTTCATTATTACATATGTCAAGAATTAGCATTCAAAACAAATTTAATTACTAATGAACCTGAGGTCACACAGTACAGAGAGAAGAGTATGAGCCTTTATATTTAGGCTATTATGGATACAGATCCTGGCTCTTACACTTGGTAGGCCACGTGATCTTAGGGTGACCTTCGTTTCCTCATCAGGAGAGTGGGAATAATTAACCAAACAGTTCTAAGAGGTGGGTAAGGTCAGCCATCATTCATGTGAAATGCCTAAAACAGTGCATGACACAGAGCAAGCATTTAATAATTACTATGTATATTTTCCCCATGATAGTTAGGGCAGAGGGCACAAATTCTAATAGCTGAGAAATAGGGAGAATATAAATTAAGGCCAAGTGAGCATATGGAGAATTTTGTTGTATAGAAAAGGGACATTGATGACATAAAAATTCCATTATGTTATTTTTTTCACCACTCTTTTTGTTCACCTTGCAGTTTTCTCATTTGACTTGCAAAAATATCTAAAACTGACTACAAATGAAAGAAGTACTGACTTTTATAATCATGTTTTAAGAATTGGATAAGCACATTATGGGGGTAAGATTTCCATCAAATGATGAAGTCTTTGTCCAGTTGCATTAAGAAAGATGAAGGAGACATTCCAGCGAAACTTCAAAGAAAAAGAAGAGTGGCCACGGTTGGTACATTTACATGGTGGGTGCAATACTTGGTTATATTTTATATCCAACCATCAGTGCTTTTTTTTCATTATACCACTGAAACTAAGTCTTCCTAAAACAAAGTTCCCTTACAGAGTTTACGATTCCTATCTCTATTCAAAATTTGATACCCATTCTTGTCCTCTTTGACCTCAATATTGTGCTTATCAACCAGTCAGTTGATTAAAATTGCTGTTGTCTGTACCACTGTCAACATACTATAATTGTTGCTGTAGATATTATCATTAACTTACAAACTCAGGTTGTTTCTCCAGGGCATGATGAACTAACAGGCTCAAGTTGTGGACCACCTGGCCCGAGAATCATAAACCAGAGATACCCTGGACTCCCAAAACTGTGATTATCCTGGCCCTTTCTTCTTCCTGCCCCTTTCTTTTTATTATCCTGGCCCTTTCTTCTTCCCCTTTAAAAAAAAAAATCCCAAACTCAAAGACCAAGATGGAGTGGCTCTGAGGCTTGCCTGCCACTTCCTCCTTGGTGTTCGGCAATAAATCCTTACTTTGCTGTCAGAGTTGAGTTTGGCTTTATGACCCATGGGCACCTAAACCCTTTGCTGGATTTCACCTTGCAACCCCTGTAGAGTATATTAAATATTCTCTTTACATTTACCAGCTGAATTATTAACATTCCCATAATTTCATTTTTCTTCTATTCTTTTTTCCATTTTAAAAAATTTATTTATTTTTGTAATTGAAGGATAATTGCTTTACAGAATTGCATTGGTTTCTACCAAATATCAACATGAATCAGCTATAGCTATGTTGGAATATAGTTGATTAACAATGTTGTGACAGTATCAGATACACAGCAAAGTGACTCAGCCTTACATCTATACATATCCATTCTCCCCCAAATTCCCCTCCCATCCAGGCTGCCACATAACATTAGCAGAGTTCCTGTGCTATACAGTAGGTCCTCATAATTCTTTCCATTTCTTATTTCAAAATATCAGCATCCAATAAGAAAAATTAACATCTAGGAAGAACTCTCCCTTCCCTTTACACTAATGATTTGCAGAACAAAGTATCTGTTTCTTTAGGGAGACAATACAATAAATCTATTATTTTATTTACTTTTTTCACAATTATATTTAAAATGTCCTTGGTTGCTTGGACTATTTGGGAGACAGGACAAGAAGCTCAATGAAGGATATAGGTTTATAAAGGCTAAGAAACATGATGAGAATTTGCTCTTAATTTTGTACTCAAAGTTTTTTTTTTTTTTTTTTTACATTTCAGAAGCAGGAGTTTAAAAATAAAGCACACCACTTATTTTAATGCAAACCGAAGCAGATGACAAGTAACAACAGTTAGGAAGAGAGAGAAAACAATAGTTCCTGACAATTATCTCTCTTTCTGGTTCTTCTGATCTCCTGGGAGACTGTGCTGAGGCCTTTAACAAAAATCATGAACTGGAATGTCCTCCTACTCACCTGTACTCAGACTGGTTACAAAATTAAATTCACCAGTCATTAGTAAATCAAACAACTCTGTGTTATTACTGCAAAAAAAATTATTATCTAAAGATATTGACATACCCACTCAGTTCATACCTACTACTAAATATAGAATAGATAACCAACAGGGACCTACTGTATAACACAGGGAACTATTCTTAATATTTTCTAATAACCTATACGGGAAAAGAATCTGAAAAAGAATGTGTGTGTGTAAATGAATCACTTTGATGTACAGTGAAAAAAGTAGCATAACATTGTAAATTAACTGTACTTCAATGAAGAAAATACACAAAGTTACTGATGTGTCACCAGGGTGGGGATGATGTTTAACACCCAGCATTTTTGAGAGCCGAGAATAGGACTTATTAAGGACCATATACAGAAAATAGCCTGTGGGGGCTGCTCCGTGGTCCATTTTAACTGATCTGCTCTTCTACTGCTTTCTGGTTTCATCTTATGGGGATGGACAGGTCTCCCCTGGCTTAGCTCAGGAAAGCCAGTGTGGTCTTCCCACCTTATCTTCACAGATCTGTCTTCTTTCTGAGTGTGTCAGTCCTGGCCTCTCACGTGTTCACTCCCATGCACTCTTTTACTATTATTATTATTATTTGCTTATTTATTTGACTGAGCCAAGGCTTAGTTGTGGCATGCGGGATCTTCGATCTTCACTGTGGCATGTGGAATCTATGACAGTTCCTTGACCCGGGATGGAACCCAGGCCCTCTGCACTGGGAGCAAGAAGTCTCACCCACTGGACCACCAGGGGAGTCCCAGTCCATGCCCTCTTTTTGACCTCTGTCACCATGACCTTCCTCCTTCACTCATGCCATACTTCCCTGGCAGTTCACTGTTACTTTATTTCTGAACATTTTTCCATTTTCGTGATTTTATCTACACATTTCTTAGTGTGCAAATTCCCTGAGAGTCTCCTCTCCACTGGAGAGAATACATTGTCAAGATTTCTTTCTTGAATACTCTTTCCTTAGAGTCTAGTTCAGTGGTGCTCAAATTTTAACAGGCATGATTCACTTGAGGATGATGTCAGGGCCCGGGTATTTATAATCAAGAAAGCAGGTGCCCTGGCGACACCAGCAGATTCTGCCGCAGTGGGTTGCAGCTTTCCTAACAAGCACCTTGGGGAATCCTGATGCAGGTACACAGTGAAGCACGTTTTAGAGACACGCACTGCCACTGTTTTGTAAGTTGTCCTCTACACCTCTGGTCACACTACACAATGACTCCGATCAAAGTTCCTTCTCTAAGGCAACTTCTCTGCATCTACTTTATGCTCACAGTCTGTTCAACATTAGTCTTGTTTTTACTTGTTGTTTTAAAAATTGAAGTAGAGTGGATTTACAATGTTAATTTCTGCTCTACAGCAAAGTGATTCAGTTACATATAGGCATACACTTTTTCATATTCTTTTCCACTATGATTTATCACAGGATTGAGTATAGTTCCCTGTGCTACAGTAAGACCCTGTGGTTTACCCATTCTATATATACTGGTTTGCAGTTGCTCACTCCAAACCCCCATTCCACCTGTCGCCTCCACCTCCTTGGCAACCACAAGTGGTTACCAGTTAACAGTGGTTAAGACCTCATTTCTAGGTCTGTGAGTCTGTTTCTGTTGCCTATATTCAGCACAAATTGCTTTGGTTCCCTTCTCATTATGAGTGTTGGCCCCACCAAACTTTTCCATCACCCCTTCATCTTTTCCCTCCCAATATATTCCCACCTTCTTCCTCTCCATCCCTAATGCATTCTTCAATCACCACCCCATTATGGGGCATAACTGTAATTCCTGTCCCAGGCTCCTGAGTCAGTTTCTATTTGAACAGAGTTGTGTAGTAGGCATTGATTCTCCTGGTTAAGCCTTGTAATGATGAGCATCTTACCTAGTAAGGCCGAAAGACTCATTTTCCACAATAAAAGCCAATGTTGGTGTCCAATTTGAAATAGTATGGTATGAAAAAAAATTACAACCCACAAAATAAATTTAAGTGTACATAAATCTCATCTACCTATTCATTGCCTTACTCTTTACACATGTTATTTATTTTAACAGTTAAAGCTTTTTAAATAGAAAGTTATGAGTATAATTTAATTATTGAGATAAAAAGAATATAGCTAAATTCTATTTTATAGTGGTCTGAAATTTAAACTGAATCTAAACACTTGAATCAACTATCAATCAGACAAAGATGAAATATTTGCTTGGACAAAAAATATTGAATAGGATATAAATATTATAGCAAATCATGGGTAAAATATTTGAAAGTAGTATCATAATAGTTTTATATTGATGAAATAGTAAATTAAAGTATACAGGTGGATGTATATACAATATACACTTTGATTTAATATATATTTACTTAAATTATTTAATACCCTATTAATTAGCATACATACATATACATACTCAAATGTTCATGAGCATATTGTTATTAGACGTAGGTATAATTTTTGAGGTATAAACAAAAATAAAGCACATAGTAAAATAATATTCATATTTACAAACGTTAATTGATAACTGAAATATGATTAAAACAATGATGTATGTTTTTGTGTGTATTCCAGCACAGTC